ACAATGGGAAAAGCTGCTTGACTCAGAGTGGCTCTATACTCCTATGAGGCATTTATATTGCATGCGGTCTCATGTTAGGCTTCTCTTTTACGCACACTTAGCTCAGCCTCCATAGACTCTCCCTCACTGATATTTTAAGATCTACCGTTCTTATATGTGCCGTTTGTCAAGTGTAATTCATATTTGTGAGCCCTTAATTTTGAGCAATTTCATTAGCTGAAATGTATAAGATGTTTAATTTAGATAGCAACCTTCCTCCTTTGAAATACAGTACTCACCCAGAGGGTTTCCTTGGTACCTTGATGCTAATGTTGAACTTCCTTCGACTCCGTCTTGCTGTCTTGCAATAATCATATTCTTCAAAGCTCCTTAGTGGTCGACTGTATATTTTACCTTTGGGATTATCTATCCGATTTCTAATGAATCCATTCTTTTGTCCTCCATCGGTCCTCACATGAATATGTATAATGTATTAAAATATCAGTACAACTTACAGATTTCATTAGATTTGAACATTTCTGAGACCAGAAATGAAGCAAGCCTTTTAGATTTGGGTTTATGTGAACAGAAACACGTTTCTTCTCTTACTCTTCATCTCTGCTGCTCTTTTTACCGCCATAAACAAAATGAACAATAGGGCTGATGGAGAAGCCATACGTTTTCCGTGGCCTACTTTGTGAAGGACCATAAATATTGACGGCTTTTTCCACCCCAGTCTCTGCTACTGTAACGTTTAACTGAAAACACAAAGGAACGGTTAATACAACAGTAAACCGAAGTGTTAGCAATATCTAACCTTAGGATTTACTTTGTGTGTGACATTTACTGTCCTTGTGAGAAATGACACTATGCTGCACTGCTCCTGCCAAGCCAACGACTCTGATTCATCTTTAGGGAAGTCTGCCACATCTGTACAGCATTTAAAACAACAAAAACAGGCAAGGATCCACTTTACATTGAGTGTCTCTAATAACTGTGTAGTTACACATTAACAATACATGTGACAACAATGTAAATACTGGCGATGTATTAATATTAGTAATACAGCTTATGTAAATGTAGCTCCAGTTTTTACTCATGTAATTCCACATGTTTATCTTGATTGTTGAAATGCCATTCTTTCTGTTTTGTAATTACACATGTGTAACAGGGTGAACTTCTTTCTTTCCAATAAGACATTTCTGATTGTAACAGTACAGACTGGTTTAAAGCCAGAACGCTGGTTAGGTTTACCATGTCACAACACAAGCTACTACTACAGCCAGCTAAATATTAGGAACATTGGCGTTTCCTGTGCAGATGCAGTGTAATTACTCTCATACTGTAAGTAACTGCACACCTGTTACAATCAGAAAAGTCTGGAAAAACAGCAGTTCACTAATTAACAGGTAATGGAAGCTTATAACGCTTTTTTGTTCACACTGCAAGCCTCATTGTTCAATGGCTGTTTGTGCTATACTTTTCAGACCCATATTAACCTATTACAAACATGGATGTCTATCTACTGCTTACTCACAAAGCAAGCAAGTTTGTGTCAAATATGAACAGTTTCGTTTTTACAACCTGCTCAACTACATAGATGTGGTAAAAGGCTGTGTTCACACTACAAGCCTCATTACTGAAGATTTTTTGCTCAGATCCGATCTTTCTAACTTGATGCTTCATATTCGTATAGGTAAATGACTTTATCATTAATGTGAACTAACCTGTGTCCTGCAACTTGCCATATGCGCACATACTAATCAGTAATGTCACGTAAATGAACCACATGCGTCAACAAACAAACTATTCAGCAAAACAAGCCGGCTTTGCAAAGATAATTAGCTCCAAACAGCTCTCAGCTGTTCATTATTGGAGCAGGACGAAGGCAGGAAAGGGTCAGATGCCTTGCTTTTGTGCTGTTTACTGGCAATGATTTCAGGTTTGGTGCTTTTGCCACATAAGTGCTGAATGATGGTGCATGAGTTCCAATCTGAGCGTTCACATTAAAGTCGCATGGTCATGAATCGAATACGTATACAGTCTAGCGCTCTTTGAAAAGATCAGATGTGTGTGTCCACACAGCTCTGAAAACATCACATCTGTGCCACATTAAGGCAGAAAATTGTATATGAGTTTGGTAATGTGAATTTTTAAGGTACATCTGTAAAGGACCTTTTTTTCTGTTATTTTGCATCCTGGTCAGTAATGGCATTGCTAGTTTTCATGAAACCCTGCTCCATATCATTGACACAACCATGTTATAAACATGTCTTGGCAGATCACATATGCTGTCATGAGTCATCATATTTAGTAATATAACTGACATTGCTTGATGTCCACTAAAGTACATTTAGTAAAGTGTGATCATGTGACATAAGCTGTCATGACATCAATCATTATGACATGGGTCATTACAATTAGCCGGTAATGGTAACATTACCACAATGTTATTTTACTGAACAAAATCTGGCAACTCATGACAGCGTATGCCATGTTTCTGGCATGGTTACGTCAGCGTTATGTAGCAGGGTTTAAGAAAAGTGTTAGCAAATGCAGTTTACTGCAGATTACTTTAAGAGGGAGTGTGTTATCACGACTTACTCACTACACAGCCAGCAGTTCGATCTCCAGTTCCTTACACAGACCAACTGACAGTTTCAGAATTTAGTGTAGTCTCATTTTCAGAGTCTGACCAAATCGGCTGTAGGTCAGATGTAATCTTAAAAGTATCCATTTTCTGTTTGTGCGTACAATAAAAAGTAAAAATCTTCAAATAGCTTGAGCGTCTCCTACAGCTGTCAAAGTCGTTGCTTAGCAACGGCGTCTCAGCGGAGTCATACAGTGTTTGTGAAAAAAACATGTTATGGCGAAATAACAGCATGGTTAAAACGCTTCTCAACCAATCAGCTTGCGTGGCCGGAACTAACTGTTGTATAACAATTATTATAGTTAAACTGCATGCCTAAAAAAACTTGTAAAATATACTGGTAACACTTTCTATGAATTTTCTAAATTTATAAAAATGCATTACATGTTATAGCCATGCTTATTATGCATTATGAATTTTTAACATAATACATTATAAGTACTGATCATAACAAATAATAAGAGCTCATAAGTCGTATTTGTCCGCTTTACGTAAAGTGAAGCGTACTGTACTAAAGCCTCCTCCAGGGTTAAGGGTGAGGCTACAAGTTGAAGTATTTACTGAAACACTTCAACATACAAAGTACAGCACATTACAGGCTTCGAATGTCAGATTTTAAACTAGTGCTGCCATCAGTGTTTAACCCAACATAGGAAAGTCAGTGTACACCACCGTTAGCTTGGTATTTGTCTTTACTTTACGCTCTCCAAGCTGGGACTGACTTCTTTGGCACTGACAGTATAACATGTTATCAACACTACTTACAATGCATTATATTAACAATTCATAATGTATAATAAACATGGCTATAAAGTGTAATTCAGTTTATACATGTTTATAATCATGTTTATAATGCCGTATGAATGCATTATAACATTATAAATGTGTTCATAGATACTTACAAACATGACATTCATAGAAAGTGTTACCAATATGCTTAATATAAGTATAATATACATAACGTATAATATGCAAATTTACTTGCTTATTCAGTTTCTGACACTGTATGACATTGTTATCTGTAAAAATAGACATCATATGGCTAGAACAGTCACAGCAATCTTGAATTTGAGCCTGAATTTTGTCTGTAACTGTCATATGGTGTCAGAAACCACATAATCAGATATGTTTTCTTTCCATCAAACTATCGCTTTAAAAGGTAAGGCCACTGAGAAGCGATATCTCTTTCTCAAGGCCATCCTGATAGTGTAGCGTGTTGGAACAACCGGGGTTAAGTGCTTTGCTGTAGGGCACAGTGGCTAGGCTTCGTGTGAGGGCAGGAACTGTTGAGCCCACAACTGTCTGGACAAGGTCAGTGCCCCATAATGCTGACCTGGGACCAAGCCAGCAGATCGTCCAGTTACTAGGCATCAGCTTTCTACCCTGATAGAGGATCCAGAAGAGAAGAAAACATGAAGCCTGTCATTTTCCCTCAGCTTCCTAGAAGTACATGACAAGTTGGAGTATATTTTTGTCTGACATTTGAGGAAGAAGAAATAAAAAAGGAGTTCAAATGGAATGGAAATGCTCGCATAACGACAAGGGTCAGTGTGTGCCTTGTGTTCAGTAAGAGCGGAGAAGAAGGCTTTGCATGACAGAGCTATTCCACCACCCCATTAAAAGTGTTTGTGCCACTAATAACCTTTCACTTGCGTATCCAATCAGAGAACGTGGATGGATTCATCCGTACATCCGTTCATTATTTTTACCCATTATTTCTCCATCGTCTAACCATTGCTTTGCTGATTTATATCAAAACACAGTGACAGTATAATCTGTTAATCTTATTTTATTTCATCTCACAAACTAACCTGGAGGAACAAAGAAAACAAAGCAGTGCACAAAAAGCCAATGAGCAAACTTGCTATAAAAAAAGGTATTTTGTCACTTTTTGTCCTCAAATTGAGTTTCTGTAATTGATTTGTTTGACCGTGTTCATATCGTCCCCTTGAGTGTACACATGAAGAAACTGCAATTTCAGAAAGCAGCTGTGTTTTTGCCCTAACGCTGATGGGAACTGGTGTGTTTGCAGAATTCTGAATGTGCCTGTTGGCTACTGATCACCTGGAAATCTTCAAACATCTTGAAAAGACTTTCAGTGCTCCAAAGGCCTGAAAATGAATGAGGCCAATGTGAAGAGGATTTTTGATTTTAAAGTCAAGCTAAGGCTTTGAATCTGTGGGGTCTGTAGTCAATCAAAGATGCTGAAGGAGTGAAAAGTAGAGTACATTTGTGCATTATTGACTTGAAGAGGCTGTTCACCTGTACTACGTCCAAAATTACACTTGGGATTTAAGCCTCTTGGCCAGTGTTGGGTTTAGTGACCTTCTGAAATTAGTTCTATATGGTCCTGTTTTGTCTCCTGTCACAGGTCCAGTAGCAGTGATCAGTGGTGAGGAAGACTCGGCCAGTCCTCTTCATCACGTTAACCATGGCATAGTCACACCCTGCACGCTAGATGCCGGACCAGACGCTGTGGTCATCGGAATGAGCCGCTTCCCTGTCCTGGAGAATCCGCAGTACTTTCGGCACGGACACACCTGCAACAAGCCCGCCACCCGTGAGTGAACAAAACTTTACTTTCTTTGCTTTTTTTTGTGTTGTGGTCCAGTCTAAAGTTACATTTACACAGTACTCCCCTTACCCCCCTGGAGATATGAGGCTAATGTAGCTTACAAAGAATGGAAGCTCAGCACTGTTCAAACAAGGGAGGCACATTTTGGTATTTTATTTTGACGGATAACCGTCTTTGGTCAGTGGTTAATTGTTAGGCAAGCCAAAAATGAAATATTAATCAAAAAAAAGTTTCATTCTGGTTCTGAATGCACTGAGATTTTAAATACTGTTCCTTGCATTAATATTTTACTGATTGGTGGGGTCAGGCATCAGCCCGTACGTGAAGGAAACCAGCCAAAACCATCTTAATCATTCCCTACATAAGAATGTGGTTTTGATTAAACCGGGTCCACCATGACCTCCTCTACCTCACACCACCATGCAGCACACTTTCTCTCAGAGAAAAATTTGTCTGTCTTATCACTTGAGGATCTTCGTTTTTATATGGCACATCGTCCCAACACCACATAGTCAGCTGTGCTCTTCATTTTTTAGTAAGCCTATTTAGCCTATTGCGCCCTTATACATACAATTAAAAAAACACCCCTTAACTTGAATGATAAACCCTATTGAAATAGAAACCAATAGCATCGGTTGAATAATTCTTTCCTTATTTGTCAACTAACAATTAAATCTAATCATTTATATCCCTAATGAAAAAAAATGCTCCTGCATTGGTATTTTTGGTATTGGTATCTATCAATGGACTAAATGTACTAAAACAAAAGTAGCAGCATGCTAAAGCCTGAATTTCATCTGTATTTTGTCTCTTTTTGTAGATAACAGTATGTCATACAGTGTCAGAAACCATATAAGCAAATCTACTTGAGATTACTTAACAACTCGAAAGTTTGAAACAAGTGTACAATTATTCAGACATACGAATTGCTAACCTGGTGGCTACAAGCTTCCATTCATATTGTGCTGCATTAATCTTGCAACTGTTGTTCAAATTTCAGACAGTAAACTTGACTTATGCTGGGGTATGGGGAAAATTGTATATTTTTGGTTTACATTTGATTCTAGTCTCATATGACAATGACAATAGCAATAGCTATCAGCTTCCGACTAGAGATGTCTACATCTCTGTACAGGCTGTTCTTCTTCCCCCCCCCTGACACTGTACACTTCCATTAGAAGCTACACACAGTTATGGCCTGTCTGGATGTCAGAGATACACTCCTGTGTGGACGTTGTGCAGTGTGGTCAGGGCTCTCGCCCCATTCGTCATGCCAAGGTGTAGCACTGCTACTAACTATAGTATGTAGGACATGGAGAGGAAGCAGTTTCAATAAGCTGAAGTCTCTCTTGCTAAAAATAGATGACTCATGGATAGCACCGGCCTGCTCTCATTGCAAATTGCACTGGCACAAATGCCATCCTATTGTTGTCCAAAAGGGGTTCTTGGCTGCTCTTTCCATCATTGCTCCCAGTAAGATTTATTTTTTGTTGTTTCGAGGAGTCACAGTGGCATGCACTCTCGCATAGACATTTCCTACTGCTGCTAATGGCAATTCTTAATTTAATTCCTTTCAAATAAATCAGAACACTGTCCTCTTTTTTTGATATTTGATTGCAGTCACAAAATGTGCAAATGTTAAGAGAGACCCGATTCATTCAGAGACCACAAGATTATGAGCTGAATTCCTTTCTTTCTTGCAAAGATTACAGCGTACACACATGCATTGATATTCCCAGCACACTGCAGCGGTCTGTTCACTCTGAGCGCTGATGGCCGTGAAGAGATCTCAGCGAGAGGAAAGGGAAATTCACATTTAGCTCTCATGAATAAATTAACACGTTATTCATTATGGATTGAATAAAATCTTTATGGCCGGAGACACATGTACGTTGCATCTATACCCTGATCTGATAAAGATGTGATATTTACATGACAGTTTGTTTAAGAGGAGTTTGTGTGATTTTTTTTTTATTCTTCTGTCAATAAAATACCTATAAAATGCAGGAATTCAAGAAAACACTGAATTTCTTTGAAATTATGCTTCACAGTGTATTCCAAGTTATAATACAGTGCATCATCTTTGTAATAATCTATGCGTTTCACACATTTTCTGTAGACTTCAAGCCTGGTTTTTACATAATTACTCCATCACTGGTGACGGTCCATTGAAAATCCTTTAGTTTAGGACTAATAATGGTGTCTGGAAAGCATCCCATGATGTTCTTAGCCAGAACAGCATTGATGTACACCACTAGCATAAATTGCTATAAGAGAAGGAATTTTTACAACCCACATGTGGAAGTTTACAAGGAAGGTGGCCTAATGGTAGGATAAAAATGTATCTGAAACAAAAAGAAAAACATAATACAGTATAATGAGTGAAAGTGATTATAATAAAAGTAATTGCAGGCATGCTGTGTATATTTTATGTAAATCCCATGATTATCATCAATATTTCATTGTTGTTAGTACAGTATTATTTTCCACTCCGCCATTTTCTCTCACAATGGACTGTTCTCCAATCTGTTAGCTCTGCATGATGATCTACTGCACTCGCTGCAACCAATCACAGCTGTGATGTTGTTTGTGGTAACATATCCCATTCTGTAATTATTTCCCATTCACACATGAGAATTTTAGTATGCTGATCTCCCAAAAAAGCTTTTTAAAAATAACACTTCATGATAGTGTTAACAGGCTCAATAATCTATAGTCTATTAGATACTATTAGATTAGATTAGGCTGAACAGCTCAGCAGATCGCTAACAGGCTCCTCTGATAATATTCAGAGACAAGTTTAATGTTCAGTCTTTACTGAAGGAGGTATTGTATTTGTACAAATGTAAAATTTAAATTTGTACAAATTTTAAAACACACAGTTGCATGTAAATTTTTTACACTCCCAAACTTAATGTTTTTGGATTTTCTAAGTGGAAATAATTTTAACATTCCCAGTCAAAGTACTTTTTTTTATTTTCTACATGAAAACAAGTTAACACAAGTGGACAATTTCTATTTTTTTTTTGGAAAAAATACAAATATAAAATGTACCATAACCTTTGTACAGCCCACGTGTAATGTCTGTTTTTTCCTCAATATGTTAAATTCAGCAAATAAACAGTGATTTGGAATTAAAATGTTTTACTTAGAAAATCAACAAAACATAATTTGGCCAGGGCACCCAGAACTTTGCATATGGGAATAAATGCCATAGGATGTGACTGTACACCATAGCCAACTTGGCATTACATAACCTAAAGAATCCTAGCAGAAGTTAGCATTATTATAAGTTTTCAGCATTAACCTCTTTTTGTAGACCCCTAGTGGACATTCTGAATGTTAATATATTTTGATATTTTTAATTATGTCATCAAATATATTTATCCCCCGTAACCAGGACCCTGTTGGCCTTCTGTGTGAACTCTGTGCTGAGCTGCTAGTGAGCAATGAGGAGTGAAAGAGGAGGAGTGTTAAAGCAAATCAAAGCTCTCCACAAAGACGGCTGGCTAAGATAAAACAGACAGCTCAACTGTACTCAACAATACTTAAGAGTACTATGAAAAAGGGTTAAACATTAATACTTGATTTGACGTGCATGGCTGGCATATGTTCCACAGAACTTAACGAAAAGAGAAATATAGTTGAAGCTTCTAGCAGAAGGCAAAAAGACATCATCAGAAAGTAGATCTAAATAATCTATATTTTAATTAATTAAAATATGTGTATATTTTAAATAGTGATAAGTCAGCAGTCAGGTTTGGGGAGCAATACAAAGCCACTCAAGAGTTAAAACCATGTTATTCTCCTAAGATACAGCTTAAGCACAAACTTCTCGCTGTTCAAATTTGAAGTGCAGTGCTGTATCAAGAGTTATTGAGCAGAAAAATATTGCCCAATTTCTAGCTTGTCAGTCAGGTGTCCCTTATGTGGAGCCATGCTGAGTTAGCAGGCTGCAACAGCTGTACTGAATTCTTTTCCTGGATGTTCACGATTCCTCAGACGTGGCTTTTTTCTCCTCCGTGTTTGATGCAAGTTCATTTTTGATTTGTTTTGGGGACGGACAGATAAAATGGTTGCAAACAGTTGCAAACAGCCGAATTCACCTCTGAGAAAATGTTTTTATGATTTTTGTGAATAAAAAATGAAAACATGGATGGACATCCATTATATTATAGTCATTTATTGCAGGCAGCGGGTAGAGCAGGTGATCTATGCCTGACAATTTAGAGATTTACCATTGTGTTTTAGGCGTACATGGTTAAAAATGCTACCCGTTAACCTATAGTTTCTCTTTTTGTTTGAAATATTTTATACAACTCTACATGTCACCATTCTGCTCAATGGGTGTTCACTATATTCATTTAATTATCTGTATATCCATCTTTGGTTATTCAAAGTGGTCAAACTTTGGGTAAAAAAAAAAACACGTAAAAGGGATGTTAGGTTCAAACAAGGCATACTCTCAGTACACCAAGTTAAATCTCGAAAACATGGATGGAATTAAAATACATATAATACACTGTTATGTGGTGTCAGATAATAAAAATAACAACATTATTCTAAAGAGGATGGAAAGAGAGATGGCAGTTTTGCAAGGGGGATGCCTGTCTCTTTTTCCTCTTGGGGAATGACATTCCCTTGCATCCCACCCTCAAATCGAGCCCTGCATATGCATATATTCAAATATTCAAACAGCCATGCTCATATCTTTGCCCACATAGCATAGTAATTATTCTTATTATTCTTGTAAGCCTTATTTTTCATTCAGCAGTTTTCAAAATAGAGACAGAACTGCGCAAAAGTCATAGACACCTTAGCAATTGGTTTAAAACCATTTAACTCAGCAGTAAGTAGAATTTTGTCTGAAAAAATTCTATACTCATTATTATTATCATTATCATTAGAATAAACACAAAGAAACAGTAACAAGAAAGTCTTGCTTTCAGAAATGTAGTTGATATTTGGTGAGCTGGTTAAAGAAT